AGGTAAACTGTGTACTTTTGTCTGTTACAAGGTTCTCTGGGTTGCCTTGACGACTAAAGACAGACGAGAGGAGCTTAATAACATCATAAGTAGTAGCAGAAGGTGAAAAGGCAAGCTCAGGCCATTTGGAGTAGTAGTCAGTCAATGCCACCAGTAGAGGGCTCTTAATCTGTGTTTTGTGTTCACAATGCAGTGAGCCTTGAGCCTCTGAGAACATAATTACTTAGAGTTGAGAGTTCATTATGGATGTTGTAATAAGGTGCAAGTGATTTGATTGAGGCAGGGAAAACACTTTGTATTTGTGAGCTCAAAGCAAACAGTTCAGGCCAAGTCGAACAGGCAGAGTGAAAATCAGCAACTGGAAGTGACGACATGGCAGCAGAAAATATGAGCTACCATTTCAAGATTTGCAATTGTGACATGGGAAGAAACAGGCAAGACAGACAGTCAGCTGTATAGTTCAGAGAACATGGGCGATAAATAACGTAATAATTAATAAAACCTTGTTAAGTTCCAACAAAATTTTTGATCCAAATGTGATTATTTTCCATTTTTCAAGTGGTCTTAAAGTTTTTATCTGGACTGTTCTTTGTCAGCCAAATCAACTGTTTTCGCTGTCACACTCCCACGACAACCAATCAAAAATGATGCATTTGGTTGCTTAGGAATAGGGGTAAGTTTTGGGAGTGGCGGCAAAGACAACTATTGCAACATTTAGTTATTGTGTAGTCATTTTTTGTTTTTTGTTTTGCTTTGTGTATAAAATAAATAAATAAATAAAATAATGAGGCATCTCTCGAATGTCACACATGCTGGGCAAAAAGATACCAAACGCAAATTGAAACGTAAAAGCTTTATCCAGGTGGACAACAGGAGGGGTCATACACCCTGGAGGTATCGAGCTGGTGGCCCCTCCATCTTGCATTTCAAGTTATGAAAAATAATATGTTAGGTTTTTCAATGTGAAAACCTCAAACTTGTTCCTTTGGGGATCTTTTTTGGTGATGTCAAGTTCATTGTGTTAATACAGTCTGTCAAAATAAGATGGGGGCAGGGGGTGTGAAAGAAAATGACACCAGACATGGCAAGGTAAACATTTTCAGTGAAAATATAAATGTGAAATCAAAAGCATTTAAAACCTGCCAGTCATACCCCACAGAGTTAAAAATATTTTTTTTCTTTCCCACTGTGACCAAGTGCTTGCTCATAGGAGGTCGTCAGATTGTTGATTGTTTTATCTCTGTTATTGTAGGGTCTTTACCTTAATGATAAAATACCATGAGGGGATTTTTGTTGTGATTTGGACTATAAAAAAATCTAATTCAATTATGTATCTAGGCAAATTTACACCATTACACCATTTACACCCTACTCTAACAACTGTATTTTACACAAATTTAATGCTGGATTAAAAAAAAAAAAAAAATTAATAAGTATTTAATGTTTTTAGAGCATGTTTATATCTTTTGCTTGTACAAAATGTGACATCGCTGGGTTGGTTAGGTGGTTGGTTGCTGCTAATAAACTTACATTAGTTTTTGTTAGCTAACTAGTAACAGAACAGATATCTCAGAGGAAAACAAAAAGATTAACACTTAAAAACAGTCTAAGAGAGTCACTGTTGTGCTTCCCATGGCTCAAACAATGAGTTTTAAACTAAACAGCAGTGACTTTTGTAGGGTTACTGAAGTTGGACTAGCTGGTATATAATGATGTGCTACATGATCACTAGCTACACAGCTATGTTAGCGTAACATAAACAGTGAAGCTGGAGGATAAATGCCAACTTTTTTCCACTTGATAAAAGTTAATGGGAGGCGATCACATGGCAGGATGCTGTAAACAAACCAAACTTGAGTCAGGAGAACAACTGAGATAATCCATCCACAATAAGAGGTTTTTCATTAATATATTGCAACAACATGGGAATAGAGCAGCTGCGAGAGAATTCAACATTAATGAATCAATGGTATGGAAGTGGAGGATGCAAGAAGAATGAGTTGAATAAAGTTTGACTTATCTGACTGTTTTGTTTCACTTAATGCACCTCATCGTCTGGTGCGCCTTATGGCATATAATATAATCTGGTGCTCCTGATGGTTCAAAAAATACGGTAATCATGAAATGTAAATACAGTTTATTGGCGACTGTCAAGCCTTTGAGTCGCCGAGCAGCTGAATAGGGGAATAATGTTGACGCGCCCGCTGTTTAAAACGCAAGTCAAAGTTCCAGGTTAAAACTCCTTTATTTGTTATCAAATCCTTAAAATCCGTAGAAAAACAGTGATCAAAAACATTCTAAGCTTGAGCGGTCAGCAAAAGTCGACTTCCCCCATCACCCACTCATTCACAAAAATTCCCTCGGGACGTGAACAGGTGATATGGCAATCACTATTACTATTACCGACACCACGTGACCCAAAGCTACGCCTATCCACAACACAGTTGTTTTCTTGGGATCTTCCTTTTGGAATTTATGTCATATCTGGCTTTTAATTCTACATAGAACTTAATTTATTAACTTTTTATGAATGAAAGTGTGTGATTGCATTGTGGAATCACACAGATGTGTTTTGCCTTCCATTGTTGCAGTTTCTGTATCATTAATCACAAAAACACAACACATAACATTGTTAAAACCATGTTACATCATCTCCCTGATATTTACATAAAATAGCTTTTATTTGATCTCTTTATGAATATAGAATAGAACAAAATAGAATAGAATTACCACTTTATTGTAATTCAGAACAGCTAGTGCACATCATAATCAAATTCTGGTGCATTTACTGTCACCAATATACAATATAAATAAATAAAAATAATAATCTAAAGGTATAAAATACAAGAATATATACGTGAGAATATAAAAAAGAAATATTGTTAGGATTATGAAATATTGTTATTAGTAAGAAAAAGCTGTGCAGGATCTTACATATATTGAACAGAAATAATAGCAGCAGAGAAATGTACAATCATCATTTCAGCCATGAAATTACACTGCTGTAAATATACAGTCATGGGGGGCAGAGGGGAGCGGGATTTGTAATAACATTACTTTTATTTAAATATAGTGCTTGACTACTGAACTTTAAATTTCAGAGATTCATCTGTCAAATCAGTAAATGCAAAATAGTTGCATAAAATAGTTTCCAACCACAGGAAATTTGAGTATCGTCATAATTTTATTTTTGAGATGTCAATTCCCTTTTTGCAGGTAATGGTGGACATGTCTGGACAAGTCTGATAAAAAACGTTATTCCAAAGCAGGAGGTGCTATGATACAGTAGAAACAGCTGATAAGATCGTTAAGGCGTGTTTATGGACTATAATATTTTTGCTTTTGCATGTGCTTTTAACAGGATTTTTGCAAAGCCATTAGGTGACCTGGGACAAGTTGAATGCATGATAAGTTGGGAAAACTCCTCTGTTTTCATATGCAAAAAATACTGTTGCTCTAGCCTATCTGGTTGCAATTCTGCAGCCATTGCTTTAAAAATAGTTACGCAGATGGGCTCGCAGGCTACAGATATAAAAGTGAAAAACAGCAGGTCAAGGCAGAATCTCCAGAAGGAGAAGCAGAGGACGGATTGGACCACTCTGTGCTGAGAGTTGTCCTGAGGTTGGGGTCATCCTGTAATCTCTTACAAAAGACCTCCAAGGCTTCATTGACTAGAACGCTAGTGAAAACAGATGTAACATTGTACGAGACCATTGTTTCATCTGCCTCCATAATGACGTCGCTCACCTTCTCAACAAAATCTAAGTTGTTCTGGATGTGATGTTCAAAGCTGCCTATCAACGGGTTGAGGATCAAAGCCAGAAACTTTGACATGTGGGCTGGTTTCAGTCATTATGCAAATGTACTGTTTATAAGGTTGGGGAAACCTGCAGTCAGCTGAGACTGAAGAAGTCACTTGGATGTGTGACAAAACGTTTCTCCCACTGAAAACGCTACGTCCAGATGAACAGAATCAACTTTTTGGGGTTTACTTACCTGGATGATTGAGCATGCATCAAGACAGTCTAGAGTGTTCTTGTAAAAGATGTACAATGTTTATGTTATGTTTAAATTCATTATTATTCTATAAACATTGACAACAATAATAAGTGATAATCAGTTTTCCGATTATGTGGGACCACAATTTTTTAAAATTAATTAATTAATGTATTTTTGGGGGGGTTCAAGTTTAGAAACTGGATTTAACGCACATGTAATCGCTGTCATACTGACACTCATCACAGACCTGTGTAACCAGTTTGTGTGTGTTACGCCTGTCGATGTGTTGTGTTCTGGTGTTTAAGTAAAAGCCAGAAACCAGCACTGGATCTCTTGCTCTTTACTGTCAACCACTGTGTTGTGCGTCTGCTAGGCTGGCTCTCCTCCGGCCATGCTGGAAGGAGCTGTGACCGGGCACACATGTAGTGCCTACGTGATCACCTAGTACACAACCGCACGAACACACACAGACTCAAAACACAGGCAGGAGATTAAAACACAAGATAAAATATTTAATTTTTAAAAAGGGTGTTTTGGTGTGATTCATAAGCATTTAACACATTTGCTACACCTACACACACTCAGTGTTTACCTCTCTGTGACTTTGTTTAATGTGAATTGGCTGGTAGCACAGCAGCTGATATGATTGGTCTGGGGTGATTTAATCATTTTCCTTCTATAAGCTGACCTGAAAAATGGCATAAACCACTCACTAAATATTCAACCATGGGGCTTTTAGAATTGAATCATTAATGAAAATGTAAAATCTTTCTTTTTCTCTCTCTTCTGTCTTCTACTTGTTAACGCAGCTCGAGGAGATGAAGAAAACTGAGGAAAAGCTAAAAGAGACTAATCTATGTCACCCAAATCAATTCTTTCTTCTTCACTCACCCCTTTTTTCACATTCTATGTTCATAAAACAATCTGTATTTATTTATTAGTTATTATTAATTTGTAGCCTCACCCCCAACCAGTCATTCAGTTCCCTTTTATATTTTTATGATCTTAATCTTCATCTTACTTCTGTCTTGTAGTTGGAAAAGACCAGCAAGGTGGAGGATATGGAAAATGCTCCAGTAGGATATAAAGACCAGAGAAGAAGCCAACAGACGGGAGACGATGAAGAAATAACAGCGCAGGGATCAGGAGGTTCATTTCACTATTATAAACCCTCTGAATTCCTTTTTTTGTCCTTTTTCTGGCTTTTATTGGATAGGTACAGTGAAGAGTGACAGGAAAGTGGAGGAAGAGGAAAAGGGGAAGACACGCAGCAAGCTTTTAGCCATAGTGCAAGTGGTTGCTTGCTCATGCAAGTGAGCTAAAGCAGCCTCTCTAAAAAGCTTTTTGAGTTTAATGTAAAGTAAATCAAACTATTCTATACACTGAAAGAGAAGGTGCAAATTATACTTTTTAACACGTTATATACTATAACATAATAATATTATGGTAATATTTTTATAGTTGATGTCAAATCCATAATTAACATGTACCTATACTTCATCTCAGTGATGCAATTATAATATAATGTATTGTACAGTACACCAATTGATATTTATATTAAGGAGCCTATTATTAAAATAATGGAAATAATTTAGTCTATGTTATAATTATATGGCCAAAGCTCAGACAAAGATGGGAGACTAAAGAGAAAATGGAGTTTGAAATGACCAAATGTTATTTAATTAAATCAAATGGCTAGATCAGTCCTATGTGACTCCAGGTGTGCAGTGAAGGCATCTTAAAGAAAGAAAGTTAACCACAAAAAACAAAAACAAACAAACTGTTAAAAACCAATTGCCAACAGGTGTGTTTTCTCTTAGGTTTCCCCTCTCAACATCTGCACACCACTGACAAAACAAAGGGAAGAGCAAGTAACGATGGGCAAGTCGGAGCCCTCCTCCCCAATCAGGTATAGTAAGAAAGTTACAAATTTTGCCTAAAATTTTTATTATTATTATCCTTTATTTATCCAAGTGAAAAGTCTCATTGAGATTTCAATCTCATTTCCAAGAGAGACCTGGCCGCTGGTAACATTATTTTGGCACTTGTCATTTAAACTATTAAATATTAAAGCTTATTGTCTTACAGGCTGAATTATATTTTATTAGCGCCAAATCACAAAGGGAGGGGCAGGCCTGTGCTGTGACCCGTTGGGGGTGAGATTAGACAAGTTTGAACAAGTATGACTCTTTTTACCTCGTATTGATTTCTTAGTGAAATTAATTTGATTGAACATGTATGCTTAATGTGTGTCCTGTGTTCAAATAACTGCAGTTTTATGCAGCTGTAAACATGCTGTAAATGCAAATCAGTGAAAATAAGATGCTCCAAACTGATTTTAAACCAAACGTCAGGGAATAACCTGCTCCTGCTCAGATTTTGCGTTCAGCATAATTTAGCCAGGCTAAAACAGAGCCATTTTTCTCACATACAAAACCCTGACACTGCATTAGTCTAGCCTAAAACAAATAAAACACAAAACAAAAATAACTCGGATATAAAAATACATTTGAGAACCGATGAATATCAAAAACTCTCTAAACAAACGTTGTTGTTGCTTGTTTTATCTCTGTTATTGTAGGGTCTTTACCTTAATTATAAAATACCACAAGGGGATTTTTGTTGTGATTTGGTGGACTATAAATGAAATCTAACTCAATTATGTATTAAGGCAAATTTACACCATGGAGCCCAACTCTAACAACTGTATTTTACATAAATTTAATGCTGGATAAAAAAAAAAATAAGAGTTTAACGTTTTTAGAGCATGTTTATATCTTTTGCAAGTACAAAATGTGACATCGCTGGGTTGGTTAGGTGGTTGATTGCTGCTAATAAACTTGCATTAGTTTTTGTTAGCTAACTAGTGACAGAACAGATATCTCAGAGGAAAACAAAAATATTAACACTTAAAAGCAGTCTAAGAGAGTCACTGTTGTGCTGCCCCTGGCTCAAAGAATGAGTTTTATGTTTTAAAAAACAATACAAAACAAAAAAACTTATCTATACTGTACTTTCACTCTCTGTCTCTTGAGCAGTAAGGGGTTCTTTGTTGTTGGTGTCACTAAAATGGGAAAGTTAACTTGTTAGTCATAATTTTAGGGTTTGTAAAACGCTTGAGGACATGAGGAGAATGTGGAGGAGAGGCTATTTTGAGTGCCGCCATTATCTCATTTTTTAGAGTAATTTTTATAAACTGTTCCAGGAAAAAAGAAAAGTTTATACACAAAGGCACAAAGTCAAACATGACTTTCTGTCATGGTCCTGGGTCGTGCGACCCAGTGTTTTGTATTTAGTCTATTTTGATGTTTATTGTTTGTTTAGGTTCATTAAGTTATTCCAGCTCAATATAATTACAAGGGTAATTATATTACCCTTGTATTAAGCCTCCCTTGCCCTTCATGTGTTTATGTCTGTGTGTCTTGTGTTGTCAAGTTCATGCTGTCGCTTCTGTCATCTTCCCCTGTACTCCGTCTCCCTGGTTCATGCGTCATGTCTGCGTGGTTATGTTTAATTCATGTCATGTCTAATCTCCATGTTTCCTGTTTTACTTTGAAAGTCTGTATTCAATGTCAGTGTATTTAGGTTCACCTCTCCTGTCCTGTCGTTAGGTTCATGTGTGTCAGCTGTGCTCCCATGTGTGGCCACTTCCCCTGATCATCCCTCATGTGTATTTAGTCTCGGTGTTTCATGTAGTCTGTGTCGCGTCGTCTGTGTTCCCACCCACCGTGTTTCCATGCCCAGTCTTTTGTATTCCAAGCCATAGCCTTACCATAGTTTGTTCCCAGTTTAGGTTTCTGTTTAGTTACTGCTCTTGTGCTGCCCTCATTCTTGTTTGTTTCTTTTTGTGTTCATCAGCCACAATAAAAGGCTCGCTTTTGTTTAAGTTCACTTCTGTATCCTCACTTGTGTCTGCACCTGAGTCCTCCGCACACTCTCCACAACTTTCAATTGCACCACTAGATTTTCAAAGGCCCCACCGGGGATGAAAAACTGCTAGCTTTAAAATGACGTCACGTCCGGTTTCTGCAGTTAATGACCCACCTGTGATGGTTTGTTTTGTCAGTGTTATGAAGTTTATTCCAATGTGATGAACAGCTGATGAGATTTGCAAAAGTGTTTCTGGAGTATAATGTTTTCGTTTTGGAGTGTGCTTTTATGCGCTTTTTGCAAAGTCATTAGTGGTAGGAATGTCACTGTCACGGCTAGGGATGGGTATTGATAAGATTTTCCGATTCCATTTTCGATTCTGTTTAACGATTTGATTCTTTATCAATTCTCTTATCGATTCTTTTTTTTTTTCTTTTTAAAAAAGGAGAACACTAAGGTCGATTAGCTTAGAACTTTGTTTTATATCTTCTCTTTGAACAAGATAGAAATTTAGGAGTAACATGGCCTTACAAACCCAACAGTGAGATCTTAAGAGATCCACAGCCTAAAAATTGTTAATGTAAAATAATAAAATAAATATTCTTCTGTAGCAATAACAAAGTATAACATAAATTATTCTGTAGCAATTACACAAGAATATCCAGTAATGTCCCTGCCTACAATTAAACACATTCACTTACCAAAAATCGGGGACATCTGCTGTGGCAAATAGGTTCAAGCCTTTTACCACAAACTTAGTCACTGCTCGGTGACATTCGTCTATCCTGGCCTGAAAGGAGACGCTACCGGTAGACTGCAGCGAGAACTGCCAGCGAGCACCAGCCAGACTCTGTCTGTCTCTCTCATCATGGTCACCTAAATGCACAGTAATGGCAGGGTTTGTAATAAGGCAGATCGCGCTAACATAATATGCACTGTTAGTTGATTATTTACCTGCCGCATTAGCGGGAGAGGACGTGCAAACGTTACCGCTGCTGCTGGGTTGAGATTCACGAGTCCGGAGCGGAATTCATTCATTTAAGGTTATCACGTGTTTTGTGAGCAAATGCTTTTGCATATTCGTAGTGTTTCCTCCCTTAAATGAAATATCTACTTTTCAAGTATTGCAAGTTGCCCTGTTGTCGAGCGTTTGAGCCGCTTAGGCGCCCTGCCAGGTAAATGACGCTCCGCAACGTGGTGACGTCATTCGGGGTGACTGGAATCGATAAGGGAATCGTTTGCAAAAATGGCAAACAATTCCAACAGTGGGAACCGGTTCTCAACAAGAACCGGTTTTCGATACCCATCCCTAGTCACGGCAGACAATATGGAGCGTGAATGGAGGACCCAAATGCAGACACGGGAGAACAGAATTTGAGCTTGAACAAAAGGCGAGCCTTTATTGGGCAGATACAAAAGAAACATAAATACAAGGCAAGATCAACGTCAGTCGGAACTAAAATAAAAATATACTGGGAAAAACTGACAAGCTGTGACGAGACTGTGAAACTATGAAAATATGACAAGAGGTACATGACTGGGCGAGAAGAACAGACATCCTGAAAAAGACTGAATGACAACACGCAGACTAAATACACACAGGAGGCAATTAGAGAGAGTGGAAACCACTTTTTTAACTCTTCAAAGCTCACTTGTGCATCTGAAGTCCATGTGAAAGTGTTCTTGTCACTGGCACAGCCACACACAGGTCACAACAGTCACAAAGTTTGGCAAAAACGTGAAGTACCAGATCTCAAAGTAGCATCAACATAGGAAGATCATCAGGAAGAATGCCTTCAGCAGTGACAACATGATCTAAGAAGCATAAGGATGTTTTTATAAAATGACATTTTTTTTCTTTAAGCACAAGTCCAGCATCCCTGAGCTTCTGCAGAACAGCACTAAGTTTATGTTCATGTTCAGCAGCACCGTAGACAATAAGGTCACCCATTTAGTTCTGGATACCTGGGAGGTCTTTAAGGATTTCAGCCATCATTTTCTGAAAAGCTGAGGAGGCAGAGGCCAGTCCATAAGAGACTCAGCAACTGATTACTCTTCATGGAACAAAATGCTCTGCTATTATTATTATTATTATTATGATCAAAAAAATGTATCACTGTGTTTAGTAATCAGTTGCGTGCTTTGTTAAATGTATACATCTGTATTAATGTTTGTTGTTGCAGGGATTAAAAATATCACAGTGTGACCGTTCCTAACCTCAAACACTCACACTGTAGGAAACTGAACAGCAATTTTCATACGTAACTTAAGTCAAATTTCAAAACATGTTTACACACACAAGTTGGAAGAAGAAAGCTGAGTATGAAGCTGAATCCATGATGAAAATGATGATGTCTGTTGTTAGTAAAGCATGTTGTTACATCTCTGCTGTTTCTCATGAAGGAGACTCGAGAGGTCTCATGTAAATAAGAAGCTTTTGCCCCCAAAGTCTGTCCAACTAGCATACTGTAATAATAAATAAATCCACAGTCATATTTACACATATTCACAAAAATACACCTAAACTAGGAAAAACTAAGGTAAGTGAGACTAAACTCTGATAACTATTGCGAGATGTGGAGGGACAACAGTCAACCTAACACTGAACAAAGTGTCACCTTAAAACAGTTTCACCCCAGTTCTTGGATTCCTCAGGCCTCCAGAGACGACACCAGAACTCAGTTGTTATTTCACAAACTTTTATTCATCCACAATTACTTATGCATCTTCTGGATGGGAGATGTACATGGCCCGGCAGTCCCTCTGCAAATCTCAACCATTTGTCTTTTTCACACAGTTTGATAGAATCGACCCCCAATTGTAAACCCTATATCATGTGCCATAAAACTGAAACTCTGTGTTTGTGTATATATGTGCGAGCATGTAAGTGCGTGTGCGTGTCCCTGTGTGTGTGTGTGTGTGCATGTGTATATGTGTCTCTGCGTATGTGACTTCCTGCCAGTCATAAAAGTCCATCTCCCCTCACCCAAGCTACACCAGACTCCTCGACAAAGCATAGCTAACAGATTACAAACACTGAGACCTCCACCCAGGTATCCCTTGCAGAATTTCCATTAAGCTATAGCTTATCTTCGTTTTACTTTCACAGCCCAATGTGGGGGAGGGTCTTCTAAAAGTCTACTCCTAACTTTATGACACGTTTAGGCCTTTATTACATTCAGAGCAATGTCAGTGTCTCTACAATACATTTTATCTAAAACATTTCTAAATCCTAAAGTAAGCTAAAATATCTTCAACAGGAAGACAGAGGACTTAAATACATACAGGAGGTGATCAGGGAAAGTGGAAACAACTGACTAGAATGAACATAATGCCACGTTGGAAGTGAAAACTAAACACCATGACAGAGACGCAATGATGAAAGAATGAAACTAAAACACTGGGTTTCAGATCCACACTGTGTGTCACACTGTGACACAGTTAAAAATCAGATTCCCTGTTTGAACTCTTTAAGGAAGAGAGATGTGAAAGATGTAGAAAATGTGTGAACAGTTTTGAAAACATGTTCAGACTGTTATGTTTAACAGTCCAGATTATTTTGTTTAGGCTGAACCTTCATGTTGATCTGTTTGTCTGTTAGTTTGATTAAAACACAGGAAGATGACGAGAAGTTGAAAGAGGAAGATAAAAAAAATATTACCAGCAGGAGGAGAAATATTTAACTAATTCTTTGATTCATATTAAGACAAACAACACAGAATAAAGTCTAAGGAGCTTGGAAAGAAAAACACCTGGACTTCTTTAAGTTTCTTGAACACGTCTCACCTCTCATCCGAGAAGGTTCTTCAGTGCTAAGACATTGTGTTTCTCAGCATTACGTCATGTCACTGTATTAATTTGTTACACACATAGGTTTTTTTAATCTATTTTTTCAATGTGTGTTAAATCTTGTCACACACATTAATCTGTATTTGTTGTGTTACTCTCAGCAACAGATGAACAAACCACAGAAAGGTGGCATCATTTTGGAAGAGGTCAACGGAAATTACAACTATATCTGCCTGAGAAACACTTCCAGTGAGGTACTGCTGCTTGCATGCTGATGAACAATAAGTACTACCTAAACACAAACAACATGTTTTGTGTATTCAGAAATATTTCTGAAACAAGGTCCTTTTCACTTGCAGATACAAGAAAGACGTAACTGCAACATTCATTTATAAACACTTTGGATTTCACACAGACTGAACTTTATTATTGTCTCATTCTTTTTCCTTTTTTCCATTCTCTTGATTCCCTTTTACAGGATAAATTGATGACAGGTTGGGAGCTAAAACTGATCAAAGACAGAGAACTCTTCACATACAAATTTCAAGAAAACATTACTCTGAAAGCTGGAAAAGGACTCACTGTGAGTCTGTGTTACTAGATTTTTCTTTCAGTCTCTCTTATTATTACTTTTCACTTGGACATCTGTGACATTTTTATTGGTTACATTTACAGTTAAAGCGATTCACTAAAGGCAGAAGCCTGTATCCTGACAACACTCACTTGATGTGGAAGGACATACCCAGCTGGAATAGTGGAGACAAGATGAAGATCATCCTCATCAGCAACACTAAAGAAGAGCAGCAACTAATGTGATGCTTTTTACAAACAAGATTACGTCATGCAAATTCACTAGAATGATTTTTGTTTTTGTTGAAGAAAAGATCATAATGTTGTTATATTTTATATTTTTCACATAATTTGAAATCAGTTTAACATTTTTGCCATTTAATTAAAAACGTATTAAAAAAGTAAAATCTTCAAAAAGTTTGCTCTATTCTTTGAGGTGCAACACAAAAGTAGTTCAACTCCAATGACCTGGATGAAGATCACATTTTTTTTTTTAAAGCTGAAGCTACATGAGTGAAAACTTCACATGAAAAAAAGCTGGATTGTTATTGAAAATCATCAGGCTGTTTTTTTTTATTATTTTAAAAAATGATCTTTGTAGCATTTGTAAACATTAGCATTGTTAGCATATTATAAGTTTGCTTCAATAATGCAGACTTACAGTAACTTTGGAGAGAAACTGCTACATACTGCTGCCTCCAATGGCCATATCAGACTGTCTGTGCCACACGTCCCTCCCACTGCACCAAGTCTGTTTTCCACCTTCTCTTCTCCTGGCACCTGATCATTGTAGTGGTTAATTGCTTCAAAGAGTTTTCTCTTCTCCTCTGCCAGCTTCATTCATCACGAGTGTCAAATGTTCTTGCTGCCTGTAGTACAGAAACAAAACCGTATAAACAGTATATAAGACTGTGTGTGTGTGTGTGTGTGTGTGTGTGGTAACAGTCCTTCTAAACATTATTTAATTAAATTAACAAATCACCCCCAGTTAAATAAATAAATAAATACACAAATAAACCGTGGAATTCGATTCTATGTATACAGCACCAAATCACAATAACAGTAGACTAAAGATGCTTTATAATGTAAAGTAGACCCAACAATAAGGCACTTCCATTGTCCAATATCAAAAAAAGTAATTTCTGACAAATTACATGACAGAGGGAAGTCCCACTATTAATCATGGTATTTCAGTTCATCCATGACAAGTCATTTTAAACTTACGACCAACACAATGGAGCTGCGGTCCCCAATCTTTTTTGCGCCATGGACCAGTTTATGTCAATACAATATTTTCACGGACCGGCCTTTAAGGTGTTGCAGATGAATACAAGAAAATAAAACCAGTACTGGTACCGAAAAACAAGATTTATTCATAACACACGGTTAAATACCCAGGAAAACTGAGTTAACGATAAAAACAATTTAAAAAGGTAATATTTAAAAATGATAAAAACCCTGAGAAACATCAATTTCACACCCGAGCCACAACTCTTGCTGTTGGGTCTTTCTAGCACAGGCCCACCGCTGGAACAAGACAGTTTAACTACACAGCAAAAGCATTGAACACCAAGTAGGAAAAGTTCTTTGTGTTACTCATGCATGAGGGAGACCGGACCGGAACCAGATGTTGTTCCGCCCACTTGACCTCCGTCGGACTCTCAGCCAGGTTCTCCATAGCACTCCTTTTATTGTTGTTACAGGAATATGCATTGGTTCATTAACATATGACGTCTACATACACACAAAGAGTACCTTGCCTGTGCGTTGTGTAAGTGTGTGTGTGTGTGTGTGTGTGTGTGTGGGGTCAGAGTGTGACCCCATAAACGACTTCCCTAAACCTGCTGGCCTGGAAGTCCAGCAGTTCATCTAAACAAGAGGCACTTAGACTAAAACAGACATAGATACGTTTATCCTATCATAAAACAATAAGAGAAGGTACGACCTCTCCGATGCTCCCAGCATGTGGGTGTGAATGCAGGAGCACTCTGGAATGCACACAAAGTCTTTGCAGACTTTTAAGGATCAACCCTCTACCAACCTATCATTGATTATACAACTCTAAGCATATATGAGTAGATATTTCTAAGCATAAATAACAATCAACAATACAAATCTAACACTTGCGCCCCGGTACCGGTCTGTGACCCGGGGGTTAGGGACCACAGCAGTGGAGCTTCCTCTTATGTAATCTTGTAAAAAGTATTGCAATTTTAGAATAAAAAATTCAGGCTTCTGAACAAAATACAGCTAACCATTTTCAGATTTCATCATGTAACTGGTTGTAAGGGACCAACAAGAAAGGTAGTTGTTAACCATGTCGATGTCCTTCCCTGATTTTTGCCAGTCAGTCCAGATTATCTAAGAAATTATTGCAAACCACTATTTAGAATAGCATTAATATAAAATCAATTTTAAATAGTATGATAAAGAATGTGTAGCACTTTAAATTTGGTTAAATGGACCTTGGCATTCATGACAGAAAAGAATGGCCTGATCTGCAGTATGAGGTCTGAGTTCCAACATGAAAAATGCAAACTTCTGAATGTATGCATGGCCAGTACTTTTGGTCTATAGCTAACTTGCAGTGGAGGAGTGGTGCAGCAGGCTCAAGGGCAGTCCCAGAGATAACATAAAAACTCATCTCAGTTTTGCCAGAAAACATCTTGATGATCCCCAAAACTTTTGGTAAAAACTCTGTGGACTTATAACACAAAAGCTGAACTTTTTGGAAGGTGTATGTGTGTGTGTGGCTTAACTTAGAGCCCCCGAGAGCAGCCAGTTGGCTTTTCTACCTTTAAAACCTACCTTTAAAACCTGCCTACCAGCCAAATGGCTTTTAGCTAGGCTTTAGCTTCAGCCAAGTGGAAGCTAAATTGGCTAGTCATTCATATGTAAATTAGGTTGTTACCTGAGAATTCTGGAGGGGAGTGGGTGTGTGTGAATGATTGCTAATTTCTAACTGCCAACTGCCTCTTTGTTTGTCGGGGGGGAGCTGCTAAAAGCTGTGAACTTCCTTTTGTGTTCGTCTTGATGCATTCTCAATCATCCAGGGAAATAAATCTCCAAAAGTCACCA